GCCCCACCCCTCTTGTCACATCGGAAATTCGTGCAAACCCTGTAACTGTGAAAATACACATAATATTATGCTCAATAGCACGAGCGCTTTGTCTCTTTTTTTAAAAATTCCATCCTGTCAACTCCTCTCAGGGGGGCAGCTGCCATTTGTAAAACAGCCATTACGTGTCTAGTAAGGCATTAATTCTAACGTAGGATAAACACTGCATTTGATGTTGTTCAAAAGAAAATTCATAACTATAATACAAACTACATATCTAGCGGGTTACATGCTCGTTGCATGACTCGTTTGTTCACTCTATCAGTACGACCGTATCCTTTCTTTTGAGTTCACAAAAAACCCCCAAACACATATACCGACACCCGCACACATACTTGCCTGTACACACGCAGGCTTAACATGTCTCACCCCTCACCCCTCAATAAACTGCAATAGACAGAAAAGAATTTAACTACCAAAAAAAAAACAACAACCCAACTTTGTCTTGGATTAAAGACACACTTGGTCAAAAATGGTTTTATGCTAAATCTATTTTAAATATGTCTTATTTTGTCTGTTTGATCCAGCGTTTTCAGTTTATAGAAATAAACTATGGCCGCTTCTCAATCGATTAGGACAGCTAGTGAGGGACCTTTTAAGAACAGAGAGCGAAAATGAGGGCGAAAAATATCAGAGGTCCTGTGTGCAAGTTGTGCACATAAAAAATCCTTTGCAGGTTCAAAATCGATAAGAGCAGGATTCCACCGCACCCCGGGCAAAATTCAAAATTTCATATCAACTGAATATGTGTACCGCGCGCTCATATGACCCTATGCGTTTGCGAGCACCGTAAAACACTTACGAAAAAATAATAATAAAAAACAGAGACATCGAAACTCTAACCGTATGGCCAGAGCAGTTATATACTACTGTCGCATATATTTTGGTCTGTCAGACCTTCTGTTCAGTAATTTCCTTTCTATTTCAAATCAACGTAGGCTGTACAAGGTTTTTAGTAACCTGTATTCTTCTGTAAAATATGTACGTTTAATGAGATGTTGGCCAGTTACCGTAAACACTGAATAAAACACCTACCTACCTACCTACCTACCTACCTACCTACCTACCTACCTACCTACCTACC